TATATATATAGGAAGAATTTACACCAAAATGTTAATAGCAATATATGTGCTATTACGTATACATATATAAGTATACACATGCATCCATATTGTTATGGACTGAATCTTTATGTCCCCCCTGAATTCATATGTTGAGGCCCTAATAACCAGGGTGGCTAATTTGGAGAGAAGGCCTTTGAGGAACTGACTGGGGTTAAATTAAGTCATAAGGCTGGGGCCCTGATCTGACAGGATTAGCGTCCTTATAAGAAGAGACACCAGAGAGCTCTCTGCCTGTGTGTGTGCAAAGAAAAGGCTGTGTGATCACACAGTGAGAAGGTGGCCATGTACAAGCCTGGAAAAGGGTTCTCACTAGAAACTGATGCTGCCAGACCTTGAACTGGGATTTCTAGTCTCCAGCACTGTGAGAAAGTTAATGTCTATTGCTTAAGCCCCAGCCTCTGGTATTTTGTTACTGTAGCCCGAGTGAATGAATACACATGCATATATAGATACATATATGCATATGTATGTAGTGTCTTTCCATATATATGGTAATACACACAGTTTAAAAATATATTCTTTTATGTATATTACCATAAATATAATTCTGATTATAAATATGAAACAGGAAAAATGTCTATCAAAATGTGGATAGTGGTTCTCTCTGGGCAGTGAAGTCATGGATGACTTTATTTTGTTCTTTTTCGCTTACCTATTACCTGAATTTTCTACAACAAACTTGTCTTACTTCATATTACTATGACTTACGTTACTTGGTGTTCTTGTAAGATAATAATTCAGAGTATTGCTATAAAATAATTATTATAAAATGATCTTCTGCCTAACATTGGCCATGGTCTTGAGGCTGGGACAGGGATAAATGGCTGTAGTCAAAGAGAGCAGAGACTCAGGAGCTGGGACCAGGCAGGGACTGTCAAGACCATATATAGAACCTTGAACAGGTTTGGTGAGCCAACAGAGCCTCCTCTTGTTCATAACAGGGTTCACATGGAAAACGTCTTTCCCAGTTTCCAAAGGGCTGGCTCATAAACACGCACGTGCACCCTCCTGGAGTGTCAAGGATGCTGGGGCAAGGCTGCCCCCTGGAATGGGGACAAGGGCTAGCCTAAGGGAATTCTTGAAAACCGGCGTGGCCTTGGGGTCTTGACGCCTACGATTCCTGTCTCCTGCACAGATCAGCTGGACATCATCTCCATGGCAGAGACAACCATGATGCCGGAGGAGATCGAGCTGGAGATGGCGAAAATTCAGCGTCTCCGGGAAGTCTTGGTCCGACGGGAGTCTGAGCTCAGGTTTATGTGAGTGCCTCGGGGAGGTGGCCGAGGAAAGGAAGGGGTGTGGAGGGGAGGACACCCGGAGAAACTAACATTTGCTCTTTATGACTGTGGGCTGGGCGCTGGCATGAAGGCATTATGTACGTTTAAAAAGTCTTACTTGATTCTCACTACTGCCTGGAGAAATGGCTATCAGAGCCTTCCCTTATAAACAAGACCTGAATTTGGGATGGAATTCAAGCCAGTCTGACTCCAAAGCCCAAGCTCTTTGTAACTTTCCTTTTGAGAAGAGGAAAGGGATGAGAGAGAGAGACAGACAGACAGAGATGGGGACCCAGAGGTGGTACCTGTGCCCGTGTCGTTAAGACCGCACACTCAGGGTTCAGATAGTTCTGAGATCCAACAAAACTGGGAGAGCTTGGACAGCTTCTCTCTGGGCTACATTTCTCTCAGTTGAGAAATGGGGGGAAATGGTAAGACTTCTCTCCTGGGGTCACTGGCAACCTCAGAGTCACATGATTTGACCCTGTCTCCACTGGAGGAAGAAAGAAATCATTCTTTCAGTGATTTCACTGAGGCCAGTTAGGGGATTATCCTGTCTTACAGATGAGCAAGACTGAGGCTCAGAGAAGTTAACCTGTTCAGGGCCTCCCAGCTAGTAAATAGAACAATCAGGATTCAGATCCAGCTCTTCCTGCTTTCAAAACCCATATTCTCCTTATATGACCTCTGCATGGACTGCATCATGTGCCCTTCTCTCTCAGCCCATGAGACGGACCACTGTAGTAACATCTGCCATTTATTCGACTCTCTGTGTGGGCCAGTCCCTGTCCTAAATGCTTCACATGCACAAGAAGCCCATATCCCTTCTCACAGGAGCCCTTCGAGGAAAGTTCTAGAACATCCCCCATCTACAGATAAGAAACCTCTTCCTTTTGATCTGGGAATACATGAGTGTCGAGTACATGAGTACTCAACATGAGTACATGAGTGTTGAGAAACAATCCCTCCCTTGTCATGTTTTTTGGGTTTTTTTTTTTTTTTTTCAGAAGAACTTGAGGAAGGATTGGTTGTGTGGGAGAAGTATCAGCAAAAATCAGGTGATTCCAACCACTGAGGTAGCCAGGACTGGACATGAGTTTGAGGTGCCTGTGGGGCACCCAAGTACAGATGAGTGGCAGGAAGTTCTGTGTCTTTGAGGTATGTGGGAGACTGAACTAGACGTAGATTCTCGGGGCTTGCCCACAGAACGGCCATTCCTGGATTTGAGTAATGGGTATAGTCACCCCACGTAAGCAAGTAGACCGCAAAGTCCAGGCTCTGGGGAAAGCTGAAATCTCCATGCTGCTCTTCCTCGTGGATGGAGTCAGGACAAAGGGAAAGCCAGCTCTCAAACTTCTGGAGAAAAAGTATGGAAGGATTGAGAATTCAGTGCCAACAGGAGAGTTTGAGATTGCCACAGTCTATAAATTCTACAGGTATACCTTAGAGGTATTGTGGATTCAGTTCCAGACCCCCTGCAATAAAGTGAGTGTGAGTGAATATGGCTATAAAGTGAGTACAATGAATTTTTTGGCTTCCCAGAGCATACAAAAGTTAGGGCTACACTATACTGTTGTCTATTAAGTGTGCAATAGTGTTATGTCTCCAAAAAAATGCGCATGCCTTAATTTGAAAAAATACTTTTTTTGCCAAAAAATGCTAGCCATCGTCTGGGCTTTCAGCGAGTGGTAAGCTTTTTGCTGGTAGAGGATCTTGCCTCGAGGTTGACGGCTCCTGACTGATTGGGCGGTGGCTGCTGAAAGTGGGGGTGGCTCTGGCAGTTTCTTAAAATAAAACAACAATTGGGGTGCCTGGGTGGCTCAGTCGGTTAAGTATCTGACTCACGATCGTGAGTTTGCAGGCTCTCTGCCGTCAGCACAGAGCCCACTCGGGACCCTCTGTCTCCCTCTCTCTCTGCCCCTCCCCTGCTTGCACTCTCTCCCTCTCTCTCTCTTTCTCTTTTTCAAAAAGAAGCATTAAAAAAAACCCATTAAAAATAAATAAAATACAACAACAATGAGGTCTGCTCCATCGATGGATTCTTCCTTCCGCGAACAATTTCTCTGTGGTACATGGTACTCCTCCTGGCTAGCATCTCCCCCGCAGTAGAACTCCTTTCACATCTGGAGTCCCTCTCAAACTCTGCCTCTGCTTCATCCATGAAGTGGATGGAATGTTGTCATTTCGACCACCTGCGCCTTCACCGGGAGGAGACTCCACCTCAAGAAGCCACTTTCCTGGCTCCTCCATAGGAAGCAGCTCCTTATCGGTTCAGGTTTCATCAAGAGCCTGTCGCAATTCAGTCCCTTCTTCGGGCTCCACTGCTAATGCTGGTTTTCTTGCTATTTCTACCACATCTGCAGTGACTTCCTCCATCTAAGTCTTGAACCTTCAATTTGTAAAAAATACAATATCTGCGAAGCATCATAAAGTGAAACACAGTAAAGGGAGGTGCGCCTGTACTACTGTATATGTGCAAATTAAAAGTCTTTCTTCCTCTGTTTTATTTTATTTTTTAAACAATTTCCCTTTTTATTAATGTTTATTTTTTTTAATTTTTTTTTTAACGTTTTATTTATTTTTGAGACAGAGAGAGAGCATGAACAGGGTAGGGGGAGAGAGAGAGGGAGACACAGAATTGGAAGCAGGCTCCAGGCTCTGAGCCATCAGCCCAGAGCCCGACGCAGGGCTCGAACTCACGGACCACGAGATCGTGACCTGAGCTGAAGTCGGACGCTTAACCGACTGAGCCACCCAGGCGCCCCTTAATGTTTATTTTTAAGGGAGACAGAGGGTGAGCAGGGGAGGGGCAGAGAGCGAGGGAGACACAGAATCTGCAGCAGGCTCCAGGCTCTGAGCTGTGAGCACTGAGTTCCATGCAGGACTCAAACCCATGAACCACGGGATCATGACCTGAGCCGGTCAGATGCTTAACCAACTGAGCCACCCAGGCACCCCAATAATGTTTTTTATTAATTCTGATGGACAGTTTTACCACTTTTCTTCTATTACTTAATATGTAACCTTTAATCAGGATATACTATCCACCAGAATTAAATTAGTGCCCAGGTCTTGCTTTCACATCTTTTTTCTATTTTTATACTTCCAATTTTTACTTCTTTATGTTCGCAGTGAGGATCACACTTATATTTGGTTCTAAAACTATAATTAAGCTTCTGTTCTCATATATAGATAGTTTTTAACATTAAAAGCACATGACTGGGCCTCGTATTCTTATGGAGCCAGCATACTACATAATTAAATTTGATTTTCTCCAGTTTAAAAAATACCCTACATGACTGACACTTATAATATCCTTCTCCTGTTTCAAAAGAAAGGAGACAGAAAACATATGAGTTCTAGAAAGTACCGAATAGCTCCCTCAGCCTGCAGGTGCTCAAGAGGGACCAGAGATTGCTTTCGCTGCTACAGGAACAATGGCTGCCACTTTGCATCAACTGACCTTTGCAACGGGTGCACACACGTGCACACACACACACACACACACACACACACACACACACACACAGTATCCCAGCATATGGTACACGCCAGTGAGTGTACAAGGTGTCACACTGAGTGCACAAGGACAAGAATGGCTCACGTTTAAGTTCTAGTTCTGGGCCAAGCACTGCATGAAACTCTTGACTTGCGACCTCACTGAATTTCCCCATTATGCCCACTTAGGGACAGATGTCAACTGTAGATGCTTGAAAGCAGCTATGCTCACCACCCTAGCACCAGTGCATCAGTAGATACTTGAATGAATCATGTTATTCAAAGAATACAGGAGGATGTCAGTGTAGTCAGGACAGAAGAGGGGCTCACTGACATTCTCCAAGGGAGCGGCCGGCTTCCAGGCCCCTGGGGAGTCTTGCTGGCAGCCTGCAGACAACAGTGGATGAAGCTGATGGCTGCCCCCAGCTCCAGCCTGGCGTAGTACATAACCTTGCCTGGAGGTGCACCCACCTTGTCAATCTGAGAGGCACGTGATGGACCCTGGAAGGACAGGCTAGAGATCAGTGCCCACTCAGACCTGAACAATTGCCTTATCCATCATCCTGCGGCCTCCCAGGCTAGCAGGACAGGCATGGGCCATTCTTGATTCAGTTTCCTAGCTATTTCTCAGAGCCAGGCCCTTACACAGCTAGAGGGGCCCTATTTTGCATCCCTTTTATTTTTTTTTAGGTTTATTTATTTTGAGAGAGAGTCTGTGAATGGGGGAGGGGCAGAGAGAGAATCCCACATGCTGTCAGTGCAGAGCCCGCCGTGGGGCTCAAACCCATGAACCACGAGATCGTGACCTGAAATGAAATCAAGAGTCAGACACTTAAGTGACTGAGCCACCCAAGCACCCCTCTTGTGTCCCTTTGAGAAGAGAAAATCAGAGGTTAAAAATTTTGCCCAAGGTTGCATTGGCTATTAAGTAGCCAAGCTAGGGTGCAATGATTCCAGAGAATTGATTAAGCGAGTGAATGAGGAAACAAATGAAAGAAATACTTCATAGAGTATATACCACAAGAGTAGGAATCTTATCTTCCTTACTGTTCTGTCTTCCCAGAATCTTGAACAGCACCTAGCATTTATTCAGCAAAATAATATTTGTTGAATGTGCAATAAATTATTCTTTCACACTCCATCCTTACCCCAACAACTTCCCTACACACACACACACACACACACACACACACACACACA